AAAAGAGTGGTCTTGTGGTGTCACCGTCATGGAACGTTTGGGTAGCTGAGCTCGTCTATCGTCGTAAATTTTTCAGTATGAACGTTGAGTGCAAATAGTGAAACAACTACTTTCAAGAGTAAGGGTTTCCATTTGTTCTTTGTCAAAGGTTATCACGACGAGGTGAACAACGATAAATATTGCGTGTCGATTCGAATCTTGCATGCCTATGTTATGAATATAGCCGCTAGTTCGAACTCGAATGTATGTAAAACTGAACAATACGAATGATTGCCCACCCTCGACCTGGCCAACAGACATGACCAATTTTCATGAGAGCCGGCACAATTTCTCTCATTGCGGTGAGTACTCTGAGCGAGTGGTTCTGAGAGTAGTCTCGATTTAAACAACGCCTACGGAGAAGCCAAGCTGGTCAGACCTTTTTTCAAAGGACAGCTTCGCTAAATTCTCACCAGTAAAGACATCGCTGAGAGCGGACCCTTGCTCAATATACCCATTTGGATCACTATGCCAATGTTCGTAGACGCGTCGTTCAAAAGACTGATAATTAGGTCCTTTCTATAGACTGCAGACATTTTTCGAACAGGAAAGGCGGCAATGAAGATTCCACCTGCTGGAAACAAATCACACGAGGTTATATCAGTGCCTGCTAGGGCCACAAGTCATCGCAGTTAGCCTATTCTCAGCTTAGACGTCGTCTTATATGAATGTCTAATCATGATGCTATACCATACGCTGTGCGTCGAGCGAGTAATGCTATAAATCAACAAGCTCCAACAAAAAAGCTGTAGAAACGCACAATCAAAAGCTGTGTAGTGCAGCACTGTTGAATTTGCATGTACGCCTTATGTATCGTATCGTAGATGCGCAAAGTCGCTATCGGATTATGCGACAAATATAGTTTGGGCGACGCGAAGATGTATTCACCCGCACATAAAGCCAATTTGAATAATTTTACCTTAGGAATATTTCCATCAAGAAAGCATGATAATTATGCCGATTTCTCTGATATATTAATAAATGATGTCACTGTGCGCTACGGCGCACGATCTAATTATATCACAAACGGCTTGTAGCCAAGCAGATATATTTCAAAGCTGATGAGGGCGTTCCTACTTCATTCAAATAACTCCTTGCCATAAAATAGATAGTTTTGCTGCAATGTTTCAAAATGACAAACCCAAAATAGTTATAAGCGTGTACGCTGTTTCATCCTTTTGAAAAATTTAAAGCTGTGACAAAGTCATAAATATCACAAACGACCTAAAAGATCGAACCAGATTTAAATAACAAAGAGTCAGGGCATAGTTTGGCTTTTCGTCACAGCAGTTATGGTCTCCTCGTCTGCTGCACTCAAACACCGTTCAATGTCTTTTATGAAAATGATGATGTCAGCGGTTTATTGCGCTGCACTTGGGCAGGTACTTGGTTGAAGCCAAGTCACCTTCATCAGTTCATTAAGATACCAGTCATTCACGATAACATTGATATGCTCGGGATCTCTTTACAAGTCATACATTTCAGTGAAGCCTCCATCAAAAGAATCTTGTTGGCGTCAGCGAGACACTTGTCCATGTTAGCAAACGCCTTGGTTAAGGACATATACTCAAGTTCAGCTCGCAATGTTGCGAAGTGGATAATCACATCTAACTTTATGTGCTCTGCAAGAACATAGATGAACATTTTGCCGAAATACATTTCTGCTAACGCACGATGTCGACTTGTCCGCTGCGCGACCAGGCAGTTGAACGTTGGTGATGCGCAAGATATTTCCTCTGGTAGCTAATTTCGGATCTCCCACATCGGAGGACTAGCAGTTGAGAGAAATTCCTGTCATTGTGTGCATCATGTGGCTTTAACGGTCATGTATAGGAGACAGCTTGTTCGACATGAAGCTCTCGTGAGAAGTTGACGAAACCTACATATATAGGCTAATATGTCATTCTTGTACCAAACGCACCGACTAGGTGACTTCACCGCCAAAAACGTTCCTTGCACACTCATGGAGATAACTCTATCATCTATCTGTGAGATTCTATCGATATGAAAGAGGAAAGACATTAATTTCGAAGACACTTCGGCATTTCATTTGCGGGTTAATACATTGCTCACTGGAATTCTAATTACCCAATAGGGTGGCACTTCGCACGATATCCGAGAATCAGCACCATTGCTACATCATGACAACGATGGGCTGTCCATGATAACATCAGGTCCTGGCCCTTTCATACGAGAATTACAACTGCCTGTCTCGAACAGTTCTTTCGCTGAAGACTGCGGCACTAAGCCACTCGACTAATCTCCACGAGTACGCACCCTAAATACCGCGTTATTCAGTCGCTAAGATGCGTTTCACCAGAATGATTGTTGGAATTCCTAAAGTGTCAACTGTCATTAACGGTCTTATCAGAAACAAATTCTGAGGACCGCGACATCCTATTGCCAAATTCAGCTTCATCAAAAATTCACTCCAGGAACTCTGATATACGATCCCGTCTTCCCAACTCATCTGTAGACCTTGGCTAACCTCCTCTCAATTCTCTAAAACTTGCTTAAGGCACACAGCAATGTCGATGCTTAGTTGGTTGCTGTGTAGGCTTTACTAATCCATATATCGCAATTTCAACACCGAACTTATCGCAGATTTTCGCACACAGCAATAGTACATCCATTTAATGGCAGATGTAACTGCTTGACCTAACGAAATCCGCAAGAAAATGAGCGTAGCATCACATGTATTCACCTTCCATCGAGCTATGGCTCATGATTTTTCATTCACGCCCTATATTGAATGAGATCATATCACAAATCTAAGTCTAGGACAAGGTAACGTTTCACGCTGCCAAAATTCTCAAGGTTTTCTGGATAATTCAGCGTATCTATCGATACTTTAGCTTATACCATAATGCAAGCAGCACAAATATGGTGTCGGATTCAGCACTTTGAGTACTGCACATACCATCTACTGTTTTCATCAGTCGCACGCCAAAAGTAATCGTACTCTGCTCCGAAATCTATTCAGACTTTCAACAACTTAAAGAAAAATCGTTACGTTATTATTGACAATTAAGAAAACTTGGGATGTAGGACCCAATTCCCTTGGGTATGGCGTTCAGCTAGTGCTGGGTTTTGTTTGGACACGACCATCATAAGATACAATAGAGCTTATCTTGTTGTATACGGTTCTGTGTCTACTGAAATCCGAAATTTTCTTTGCAAAGTATCCGTTGGTCGATTCTGCGTAAGAACTTGTTCTGAAAATCAAGTCAGGCGGAATAGGAGGGGTGTGTTGGGAAAATAAACTCGGTGCTTCTACAGAGGTAATATCGGCGAAATCTGCATGGCTACTCAGGACCTTTAGACCACTCTATATATCTAGTGCGGTCTATCGGTTCTAGAGATTGTATAGCTTTTTATTTCTGCGCTCTAATCGTCTCTCCGCGGCAAAGCTGTTAAGTTTGACACCTGCTGGTGCCTTGTAAGGGGTATACGAGAATCGGAAGCTCTATTGCGAGCTGAACTTGTATAAATACCAGTTTCTAAAGTACCATCTCCAAAAAGAATCTGCTACCATTCCAGCCACAAGAGCTCTCAGCTCTTGGACATTCTTCCCCCTGGCACGTGAGCAAGACTTTTGATCACTCGTGGTAAACCAGATTAAATGTCGCTACATCGGCCAATAATCAGGATGTTAATTCCAAGCCTTTTGTGGGTCTGCAGCCAAGTGACTATTTTTACGTGAAGGCCTCCTGGCTTGAAGACCGCCATCTCGATGTGCTGTTGCTATTCTGAAGCAGGGGGAGAATTCATGATCATTTTAATCTTTAGTATACAAAGATATATTCTCGCCATTTCGCCCCCGAAGGGCATTACGCTTCAGGTGAGAGTGAGCTCACTATGCTGATCGCTGATAGAGCCGGTCATGCTATCACAGACGGCTGGCTTTGATGTTCCATGAGACGACATCTTTATAGCTAGAAAACGCCACTAGAGGGGCGATAATAGCTGTGGGGCCTTACATCATCAAACGTGCCATCTCTTCGGGTTCAATTACAGATAGAAGCTTATCGAATGTGTCTTGCTTTCTATAGAAAAGACACATGCTCCATCATCGCAGAAAGCAGTCTTCTTCAGATTCAATCATCGGAGTGACGACACGTGCTACCAGATGCAATGGGCTTTTCGCGCACCTCGCACAGATCCAGCGTTGACTCTATGATTCCACGATAATAAACGCACAAAGGACCCATTCACCGAGCACTATCCTAGTGTCGATCATTTTTTAGGATAAAATACTTCTTTTTTGCTCTAAAGTAAGGGTCACATACCTCTAAAATGAATCGTCGAGCTAAAAGGGAGAACGAATACATCCATTTGACTACATATCATAGTTAAATCCTATAATGTGCATAGCGTGAGGAGCAGCCCACTCGTCCAACAAATTCCTCCTTTACAACGTCATCCATCCGTACCAATACTTATCATGCTAGTGCATCATGTGACTTCTGAAATTCGCTCCAAGTCCGAGGGACATTAGCATAATGTGTGCATACGCTATTATAGTGTACGTAAAAGTATACTGACAGTTCGACATATGCACATACAAATTATTATCGGAAAAACATACGTTCTGCTCGTTGACCGGATTTGTTTAAAAAGTCGCCTATCTTTAACAGGTATCATTGGCTTAAAATTGGGAATAAAATAATTCCGTTAGCTAGTTTGTTGAAGATATAAATTTATATTAAAGAGAATAAAAAAATGCCCCAACTTTTGCCATATATAAAAAAAATATCCCAACTTTTC